AGAAAGTGGGAAAAATTACTTAGCAAAAGAAGAGTTATTTCGGAGTTAAAAATTCAATAAAATAGTTTTAGAAATTTTGCAATAAAAGCTTCAATATAGACTCATAGGGTTACTAAAGAAACGAGATATTTTTGTGTCGATTATAAAAGTTTGGTAAAAAACAGTATGAGGAAAATGAAACCTTTCATATTGAAAGTAATTATCTAATGTAGAAAGAAAAGGTTTAATATAGAAAATAAAGATTTAAAGTTGAATGGAAATGTTTAATATAGATAGGAAAGGTTTAATATAGAAAGTAAAGGTTTAAATTGAAAGGAAAGGATAGATATAAAGGACAGGTTTAATATAGAAAGTAAAGGTTTAAATTGAAAGGAAAGGTTGAAAATAGATAGGACAGGTTTAAGTAAGAAACGTGATGTTTTGTGTCGAGTATAAAAGTTTAATAAAAAGGTAAGAAAGGAGACCTTTCATATTGAAAATAACTATTTATTATAGAAAGAAAAGGTTGAATACAGAAAGTACAGGTTTACACAGAAAGTACAGGTTTATACAGAAAGAAAAGGTTTATACAGAAAGTACAGGTTTATTCAGAAAGAAAAGGTTTATACAGAAAGAAAAGGTTTATACAGAAAGTACAGGTTTATACAGAAAGAAAAAGTTTATACAGAAAGGAAATGTTTAATATAGAAAGTAAAGGTTTAAATTGAAAGGAAATGTTTAATATAGATGGGAAAGGTTTAAGTAAGAACCGTGATGTTTTGTGTCGAGTATAAAAGTTTATTAAAAAAGAAAAACAATATAAGAAAAAGGAAACCTTTCATGTTGAAAGTAAAAGTTTAGTTTATAAATGAAAGGTTTAGTGTACATATAAAGAAAAAGTTTAATAAAGAAAGAAAAGGTTTAATAAAGAATCTGGAAAGGTTTAATGTAGAAAGTAAATGTTATAGTTTTAGAAAAGAAAGGTTCAATGTAGAAGAAAAAAAGTTTAAATAAATGTTTAAATATAGAAAGTAAACATTTTGTCCGTACAGAATATCTTTATGAGGAAGGAAGGCTGAATGAGGGTATAGATAGATAGATAGATAGATAGATAGATAGATAGATAGATTGATAGGTTGATAGATTGATAGATAGACAGACAGATAGAAATATCCAGTATATCTTGTTCTAGCCGAATGCCTGAAATGAGAAAAAAAACTTGTTTGAAAGGTTCAATTTTAGCGGTGAATCCCCTCCTGTTGGGGGGGGGGGAGGTATGTTGGCGGTAGCATCGAGGGAGAGGGCGTAGGCCCTAGACTGAAAAAGGGGGGGGGAGGTAGATTAGAAAAATGGATGATTTAATCAAACTATATCATATTTTATCCTAAATTTCTCTCTTCTCTTTGTTTTCCGGCATCAAGGTTCAATGGAACTTCGGTTTGTTACCTAACAAACCCACACATGACCAATTGTATCTTTTAGCTTAGAAAAGTCCTGACCGGCACAATTAGAGGCGGCTTTTAGGGACAGACCGGCTATGTAAGGAAGTTAAACTGAGTATGCAAATTCTTTAGGATTCATTTGAGACATATAAAACTTTTTAAAGATCTGTAAATCATGAGTTTGAGCGCAAAGTCGACGTTCAAAATCGTACTTTGCAACAGCCCAGCATACTCAGTTTAACTACCTTACATTGCCGGTCTGTCCCTTTAAAGGGACAGTAAGCGTAATTCACAGTGGTATCTTTTAAACCTTTATCTGATAAAAATGAAGAAAAAAAATTGTTGTTTATTTTTGTTGAAGTATCAAATTCTAACAGTTCCACACCTTGTCTTTGCATCATAAATCAATAAGTAACTTTTTAAAAAGAATGCACGAATGATAATAATCAATTAAAAGCTAAGATTCGGATATCTTACTAATCCTTAATCATGGATAAAGGTTAAAGCAGGTACCCTTGTAAATCAGACATGTCATGTTACCACTCACCCCGAACTAACCAGAGAGAGAAGCATTCGGTTTCTTTTATTTGAAATCAAACGCGTTTTCGTCTATAATTCAAGACTCTTTAAACTTACAGATTTTTTATGCCAACAAAAAAATATTTAAGACAAAAGGCTTTAAAATTATGTATAAGGGGTCAAATTGTGATCAAAAGTCACGGCTTTCTGAAATATTGACAGAACGCGTTAAATCCACGTGCACTGTATATTATCTCCTATCACTAATGTTCATTTATAAATCTCGAGAAAACAAACTTAGATTCTATACACTGAATTTAATATTTTGTTTGCAATTAAAATTTTTAGAAAGGTAAATTCAATTCTAGTAAATGTTAACAAGTAAAAACATTGATTTTGAGGGATATTAACCCTATTCCTGCTGGGGGGAGGGGGTCAATTTGACCCCCTCCCTGTTGTTTTTTTTACATAACTGAAAAAGTATTGGTTTGAGGCTGTTAAAATTTTCAAACTTTTCCTACATACCCAAAGCCCTCCCTTTAGGCCTAAAACCGGGCTTTAATACTAACTGCCTGAGTCCTCAGGCACACTGCCTGAATGACTGCTTTTTCCTGTAACAAACTAAATCTTTGTTTTGACCCACTTTCACTTGTCAGATTTTGATAAAATTTAGCTTTTTGGAAAGCCTTTGACATAAGGAAACGATTTGCACAAGCTTTGCGAAAAAAACAGCAAATTTTTCGCAAACAACCTGTCAAAGGAAATTTGCACATTTTTAGTTTTTCTTGATTAAAAATTAGGTTACTTAGAATTTTACAAATTTTTTGGCATATTTGAAATGGCATGGTCAAGGGCTTTTCAAAAATGTATAATTTTTCATTTTTTGGAAAATTTTTTTTGCAAACATTTTTACTATGTAACTGGATTTTGCGATAAAAAATTCAATTTTTGAAAATTTGCAAATTTTTTTGCAGATTCATAAAGTAGAGCACAAGAGCTTTCTAATAATGTATCATTTGTCATATTTGGACATCAAACATGGGAATTAGAAATGGGGGAGTCAAATTGACCCCCCCTCAGCATATCCTGGTTTTCAAGTACCCCAGCAGAGATAGTGTTAAGCAGTTTTGGAGAAAGTTAATATTGAAGTAAATAAAATTTGACTTTCAATAATTTGATTATTCTTCTATGATGTTGCCGTTTTAAGTTTACAATTTTGGATTTCAGAGAACATAGAGATGGGAATTTTTATCCAGCTAAAGGGATTGTAAAGGAAAAATGAAAATGGGGAAAAGGATGAAAAGGATGAAACCCAAGAATCTGAGGCGTTGAACGATACATATAAGACATCTATCTGATTTTACTGTCTCGAGAAATTTATATAAAACTGTGTCAAATCATATTCAGCAAATACGTAACCAATCTGAAAAGAATTGATCCTACAGAAACCTGAGAATCTCAGGTTTGCTCCTGATATGATTATTTAATTTTTATTTTTAATTTTTAATAGATATAATTGATAATATTATTTCATGTAGTCTGTAATCCTTATAGTCCCTATTACGTCACCTGGACTTCAGCCAATGGCAGTGCAGTATACTGGTCACGTGATTTCCGTCTGTATCACGTGACAACAACACTACACTGTCATTGGCTGAAGTTCTGGTGACGTTATACGGACTAAACGGACTATATCTAATAATATTATCAATGATATTTATTCAAAATGCAAAATAAAAATTAAAAATTGTAGTAGGAGCAAACCTGAGATTCTTAGGCTCCTGTGGGATATAATCATTTTCAGATTGGTTTCGCATTTGAATAGCTTTAATACCAGAGTAGGCTCACTTCAATTTAGAACAAGAAAATATTCAGGTAAAATCCCTGGTACGACTTTATGACCCTTTAGCTCATCTAGTTTCGATATAATTGCCCTGTAAGAGAATGTCAAAAGAATTCGGTTTCATATTAAAATATTAAAACTTTAAATCAATTTTCTTCCTTATAGCTCTTAAGTTAGCACACTGCTAACAAGACAAAAGAAGGTCAAACTTTTGTGACATTACTGGTACGACTTTGTGATCTCGTAGCTCCTCCATTTTTGATTTTACGTAAAATTATAAGAAAGCCAATTTATTTCGTAACATTTCGGAAATTCGAAACATTTGTGTCTTTTCATTCTCAATAGTTCTTTACTGAGAAAGCATATTTAAAATTTCGATCCTACTGCACTATCAATCATATAGGATTTCGATCCTACTGCACTATCAATCATATAGGATTTCGATCCTGCTGCACTATCAATCATATAGGATTTCGATCCTGCTGCACTATCAACCATATAGGATTTTGATTCTACTGCACTATCAATCATATAAGATTTCGATCCTACTGCACTATCAATCAAATAAGATTTAGATCCTACTGCACTATCAATCATATAGGATTTCGATCCTACTGCACTATCAATCNCTGCACTATCAATAATATAAGATTTCGATCCTACTGCACTATCAATCATAAAGGATTTCGATCCTGCTGCACTATCAATCATATAAGATGTCGATCCTACTGCACTATCAATAATATAAGATTTAGATCCTGCTGCACTATCAATCAAATAAGATTTAGATCCTACTGTACTATCAATAATATAGGATTTAGATCCTACTGCACTATCAATAATATAAGATTTAGATCCTACTGCACTATCAATAATATAAGATTTAGATCCTACTGCACTATCAATCAAATAGGATTTTTATAAAACATCAAATTTGACTTTGACTATGATGATATATTTCTAGAGTAAAAAGGTATATGCACCTTTTTATCTGGAGGGTCGCTTAAAATTACTTAAAATTACATAAAATTTTATATTTATACAGACTAACTGTTTACAAACTGCATTGTTTTAAGATAGAAATACGACGTTATCTTCCACATTATTGATAAAATTAAGCCATGCTTCAAAGGTACCGTTGTGAATCGGGCATCCTCCTCCTTTTTAAATGGAGAGTCAAATTATGAGAACAGTTCCTTAAAACCAAAAAGAAATAATTTTCCACATATTTGATATTTATTCAGACTAACTGTTTACAAAGTATAAAAAATACAATTTTATCCACGGCCAATTAAACTCCCAACAGCAAGTCCGGCCACTTTACCAACCAGATAAGGAGCTGAAAATATTATATATCATACATACATATATCATACATAGTTAAAGAGAATAATCATCAAATTGAAGATGAAATAAAGGGAGAGTCTGTCTAGACATGGTAGTTGAGTTGAGAGTGGAGTTTTGTAGAAAAAGATTTAGAGATAATGTGAGACCTTTGAGATATTTGTATGGTGTATAATTTCTAAGCAAGAGCGCAAAATACATCTTTAAAATCATTCTTGCGCTCGCCCCCAGGCAGGTTGTGGCGCAGCACGCCTCCTTTTAAATAAAAGAAAATTGTACCTATGGCACTACCAATACCGCCCCCACGACCCCCGCCGAATCCACCACCATATCCGCCTCCGTAGTTGTTATAACCGCCACCATATCCGCCTCCGTATCCGCCTCCGTATCCACCTCCATATCTCCCTCCGTATCCACCATATCTATGGGGACTAAAAAAATTGATTTTATTATATTTATTTTCAACATATTCTCAAAGTGCAAGATATGAGTGCAATAGTTCACAAAATTGACTCTCATTGTTCAGAATTTTATGTGCATTTGAAAAAACCTTGGCCATTTTCTGACTGGTTTGAGCAATTTTCAAGTGACCCTTCACAGTAGAACGATTTGACCGATTAACAACTGCACCGTTTAAAACTAAGATGTTAAACATTAAAAAAACTTCCAATGAAATAAACTTGAACAGTACTATAAAATTTACGCGTAAAACAAAGACGAAATGGAACTCGTCACGAAATTCCAATGTACACCCTGCATTAAATAAAAAGACAATATTAAATTTACTCTGCCATACTAAACTTACTCTACAATACTAAACTTACTCTGCAATACTAAACTTACTCTGCAATATTAAACTTACTCTGCCACAAAAGACTTACTCTACAATACTAAACTTACTCTGCAATACCAAACTTACTCTGCAATATTAAACTTACTCTGCCACAAAAGACTTACTCTACAATATTAAACTTACACTGCAATACCAAACTTTCACTGCAATACTAAACTTACTCTGCATTGATCAACTTACTCTGCATTAATCAACTTACTCTGCATTAATCAACTTACTCTGCAATTCTAAACAATACTAAGCTTACTTTTCATTACTAAACTTACTCTGCAATACTAGACTTAAACTGCAATACTAAACTTACTCTGCAATACTAAACTTACTCTGCAATAGGCTCTGCATCTCTTCTTGTCACGTGATGAATGGAAGCGAAGGGTGAAGATCCTAGAATGTAAATGAGTTGTGAATAAATAAATATTACTACAGAAAATAATGTCTGCCAGTATAAATAAAATCCATCTAATCAAGTCTTGGAATTAATCAAGATCCCTTGAAAAAAATCATTCGAAGAAAAATGTTAGAACAAGAAGTCCAAGGGGAAAATAAAAGTTAACTACGTTTTGAACATTTTTGACAGTACATAATTCTATGAGTTTTTCCCAAAGAGAAAGGAAATAAAAAGAAAAAGCTTCTCTCAGATGAACACAACCGACCTCCCTATTAATTAATTGATAGGGAGGTCGGTTGTATACATCACGATATGTTTACGTATACACTGTACACTTGTATATAGATTGATCGTATTTCTTGGGGGTGGTAAAATGTAGATAATTGAATATTTATGTAGATAGTTAGAGAGACACTTAATATGGATTGTAAACACAGGATTGTATACTGCAGTACATTCAAGTTCAGTTGTTTGTTTTTCTTAATAAAAGTATGACCAAATATGCACAGTAAAAAAAGCACAAATGATATTTCTTGTAAAAATGTGAGTTTTTTCAAAAGACCAAAACACTGTGCATGCATCTAGACCTTTTAACTCATAAAGAAGGTTATTCAGAAATTCGTTTCAATATAGCATTTTTGTAGGCTGAAGAAAGAAAAAAACTAGCAATCGTCAAAAAACTAATAAGTTTATTTTATTTGAACATGAATGAGATAATATTTTTGCATCTTTCTTATGATTACTGTGTGTTTATGACAATACCCACATATTTCACACAAAAACTAAATTCAACCTTTAGATTGTTGTTTATGTTTAAGAGCTCCAGGTCGTCATCATTGTTTCATCTTTTGTGGTTAACCCTGGATACACTGTCATGTTTATGATAATGAGTTGAAGAGAAGAAAAGATAAAAAATTTTGAAATAAAATTAAGAAGGATATTAAGGTTAAGCTTAAGGCATGTCCCACAATGAAACCCTTAATAACGAATACATCGGAAGAATTTATCAAATGTCGTCTTGACAATTTTTCAAGGAGTTTTATATTTCGTAAATTTCAGTATTTGCGAAAATAAATAAATAGACATGAATATGCGGGAACAGTTTTAACTAAATATCTGCAACATTCCATTATCAGAAAGTGAAGAATACGACATTTGATGAAGTCCTTCGATGTATTCGTTATTAAGGGTTTCACTGTAGAAACTTAATATTTTTGACAAAACCTTTAGATAATGAATTTAAAACCTACAAATTTGAAAATTGTCAAATATTTGCAATCAACATTCTCGAATTCTCTTTATATAAAGAAATAAAACCTAAAAATGTATCAATTCCACAAAATCCCCACTAGAAACACGATCACTCTATTTACCATAAACAAGTGTTAGATACGTAAAAATATCCTGATGTACACAACAGACCCTCTATAAATTAATTAATAGGGAGGTCGGTTGTGTACATTTGAGGTAAGCTCTCTTCGTTTCTTTTCTCTCCACAGAACATAGAAGAAAAATAAGCGTTCAACGCATGCAGTACGGTGACATTACAACAAAATGGTGGTTTTACACTTTTTAAATATTAAAAATCTGTACAATATCTATTTTGCAATGTGGAATGCTCACAGTAAAATACAAACTGTAAATCAGCTGTACAACTGTGTAAAGTACAATGTGCATGTACTGTACTACAAGTACAATGTACATGTATACCTGCATAGCTCATAGAAATGCAGAGGGCAATGATGGCAGAAGCCTAAAAAACATTTCTCTTAAATTATTTATAAAATTTTACAATTAAAAAAATGAAACTAAAAATGTCATTTTAAGGAAAGGTTGGCAGGGCCCAGAGTGCAATTAGCGCCTTTTTTAATTTTAAAATGATCCCTCGAAAGGAATTGAGTTTTAGCCACATACTCGGATTTTCTAACCACAATATGTTTTAACCCGATTTCGTAGACATAATTCAAACTATAAACTCTGTCAGATCAAATATTCAAAGTTTGAAGAAAAAAAACATTTGAGTTTGTGACAAAAATTCAATTTAATTTTAAGAAAACTCTTAAAAAATATTTCTCTCCGAAAAGTTTCAACAATTAGTAACAAGTGTTCTTGACTATTCGTACTGTACAAAAACTTACCAAGACAAAGGAGACTGAACCATGAGAACGCATCTTGTAGAGAGTAGAGTGAGGATCTTACACGCAACTCCCGCCTTATATCTGCGCTTTCTCTTGGAAATCCCGCGTAAATTTCTCAACTTGATAACGCGCTTTTTCCAACACAACAAAAATATTAACTAAATTTTTCTGAAATTAAAATTTATTGTTTTCTTGATTTAAATCTAAATTTCAAAAATTTAATAATTATATTTTTTATCGTATGCGCCATGACTATTTGTTTTCTTTGATGCTAATGCCCTTCGGTTCTTTAGGTGCCCTTCTCCCGGGGGCTTCGCTCTCTCTCTTAGAGATGAGCGCCGTCGGCTTTTTTCATTCTTTAATAGTTCGTTAAAAACCCAGTTTGTTAGTTTTTTTCGATAGTTAAAAAATTGATTTCGTTCGTTCTTTATTAAGTATCGTTCATTTTCAATCTATTTCATTCATTTACTCATTGAAAGATCGTTCAGTAAAATTGTTTGTTTAATAAACATGGTATTTACTATGGTGCATATAGCAATATTATGAAGACGACTTTAAGTTTTAATTGATGACAAGCTTTTTTCGAATTACAAGTTTACAAGCAATTAAATAAAGAGAAGCTTCTCTTGATTTCCATGTTTTTGTGTATCCATGCTGTTTAAAAGCTTGATAAATCAAAATTAAAATCGAATTTCGTCTTCATTACATCGATAAAATCAGCTACCACCGTATCGTTTTTAAAGTTTGTTAAAAACATCTGTTCGTTTATTTTTTAAACAATAGTTTTTTTAAATCTTTAATAACATTTGTTTGTTCAGTTTAAAAAAATCTTTTTTTTTATTTCCTTCGAACAACTGTATAAGTTTTTAATCCATCATTCGTTCTTTTTCCTAAACACTCCATCTTTCACATAAAATTTCGATTGTTCTTAAAAATTTCTTAGTTTACCACAACGTCAACAAGGCTCATCTCTACTATTTCTCCTTCCTATTGTAAAAGTATGTTTAAGCACCCGACGTAAATCATTGCTCTGGTTTTTCCAACAGGGGTGTCAAACAAACGTTGAGCTGGAGAAAGAGATTATCTTAAAAAGTAACAGGTATTCTTTCATTTAACATTTAAATTCTACTTTTTAATTTAATCATCCTGATTTTATTTTTACCCCAATCTTAAAACCCCTGGTTTGCATTGGATGGAAAATTTTTAGATTAAACCTGTGCAAAAATGATATAAGAGAGATTTGAAGTTTGCAGTCTGTAAACTACAATTATAGGGTTTAAAAATGAGATAAATCTTGATAATTGCGCAACTTATATTTTGTTAACGTAAAATATAGGGACTCTTCTCTAATACCAAGAACAGTACCTTAATCAGAAATGAGCTCAAAAGGAAAAGCCAGCCAGAAAATATCTCAACTTAGGCAAACTCAAAGTAACTTCAGTAGTGAACAAAACTCAGTAAATCTTAGGACAGGAATCGCCTCAAACTCTAATCTTCCAAACTCTAAATTGCAAGACCTCAGAGTCTAAAAACACAGCAACTTCCTTCCTACTACAGTCTATATCTTATCCTGAGTTTACTCTCTAGAGTCTATGAATAGCTGATAACTATACTAGGTTCACTCCCTATAAGCTAGGAATATAGATGGTACTATATACTGTTTATTTAGTCAAAGCATACAGTTTAAATACAGGTTATCCCTGCTATAGACTACAAGTTATGATAAAGTATATTTTGTTTATTACACACTAAACCATCAAGCAGTAGTAAATATTATTGTGAAGAAAAATATCCCTGGAACAAGTAGGAAATAAGTTGGTAAAGTCAAGTTTTAAAACTTCCCGGTATACACCCAAATCCTTACAAACGTTTTACTTTTATATCAAATATTTGATTGTTATTTCAATTTTATTTTCCATTCTTTTTTCATGACAGTAAAATTTAATTTATTTACTTTATAAATCTTGATACATCTATAATAGAGTAAAAGAAATTTTTCAATTGTTATGTGATTATTTTCAAATAAAGAGCTTTACCGTAGAAATTGGCGCGTTTTCATTTTGTGCATTTATCGTTCGTGAACCACCCATTTCGTTCATTTTACAATCATTTGACAAAAGGGATTTTATACGTTTTAAAAAAATGGTCGTTTTCAGTCTATTTCGTTCGATTCTCAGTTAACGATCGTCCAGTTTTTCGTTTAGTATAATCGTTCTTTCAATAAACCGTTCGTTTAGTAAAAAAAAACTATAGTTCTCTCAAAAGTTTGTCGGAAAAAATCGTTAGTTACAAAAAATCGTGCGTTTAGTAGAAAACGACCGTTTCAGTAAAAACCTTTGAAAAATTTGTTCGTTCAGTCATAAACGGTTCTTTAAAGAATTCAGAAGACTTTAACTAATAATATATTTTTTGTTAAATACTTTTTATCTTGAATAAATACCAGTTGATTTCATCATTTAAACATAGCAACTTGAATTCGACAAGATTAAAATAGGTTTTTAAATGTATGCATTTTATTGATTGAAATAAATTGAATTTCTTTCTTGCTTAATTTCTAAATTTTAATTAATCCTGTGACAAAGTTATAAATATGTGAGCATTGAATTTGAAAAATACTATTTTTAAAAATGTGTACAGTCAAGGTTCAGAATTTTGTCTTGCATGAGGTTGTGCGTGTAACGCTATATCATCATCAATCGTTTTTACTAAAACTAATCAAATACTGGTATAGACTAGTTTCAGAAAGAAACGTGAAAGAGAGAGAGAGAGGTGCAACCGACTGTGCATGACAAACATATTTCTTTTCTACACAATATTACAGGGTTCCCCACAAAAAGGCTTTAATTAGGACCTATACAACTTCTTGAATCATCAGAGATGAAAAAGTGTTTAAAGTTTTACATTATACACACATTAAAAAGATTTACACAGAGAGGGGTTTGAGAAATGAATCTGGGGGGGGAGGGGAGGGTGCTAAGCCACCAAACCTAAAAATGTCAGTTCATTTAAGTACCAGGCCAACTTTTAGGCAGCCGGAGCAAGTTGCACTGTGTATAAACGACAAAACGGGACAAATTGTAACTAAGGTGTCTACAGTGTGTTTCAATAAACATGGGAATTCAGTGACGAATTCGATATCGTCTTTGTTATGAATTAGCATTGTAATACCTAGTTTCTAAAACCATAATATTATAATTATGTCTGCTAGAGTTTATTTAATGAAAACGGTAAATGGCTGTAAAGATGTGTCTATAATGTCTCCGCAAGATAAACCCTAAAGTTTACTCTGTTGTTTATGTACTGTAATTTTCTTGTTTTATTAAGCAACCGTATGCAGTCAAAACAAAAACAAAAAAATTGTAAACAAAGCAGACAAAAATCTTACAGATTACAGCTTTCTCAGTTCTCTCAGTATGTATCACTATAGTAAATCAAAGAATTATTTTAAAAGACGATATCGAATTCGTCACTGAATTCCCATGTTTATTGGGACACCCTGTAGTGAAATCAATGTGCAATTTTTACCATAATTAAGAAGACTATCACTTGTCACTAACATTATAGCACGATGTTTACTTTATAGCACTGCTGACAAAGCATGAATGATAAAGTGCACAATAGTTCCATAAAAGTAAAGAAAGAAGAATGAAGCCCTTCAGTATTCCACTGTTTTCTGAATACCACTGTACATCATTTCAACATTTCAAAGGACTCCATTTTTTAAGCTGTGAAGTTCAAAAAATACGTCACGATAAGGTTCCAAGGTCCCTAAGATATGGAACAGAAAGGAGGGTTCTGCACAAAGAGAATAGAATGGGAGTCCCTTGTGAAAAAAATCAAATCTCCTGAAAACAGTTCTTTTAATGTTTATTTTAATTTTCAACTCATAACTCACTAGTGTTAGCGAAAATGAAAAATTTGACAATCTTAATAATATGGGTTCTAACGATACCCAATTCAACAAGTATTTAAAATTTTCATTTTCACTTATACTAGTGACTTTTTAAATATAAACCCCCATTTGAAGGGCACATTTTTGATTTTTGTGAAAATATATTTTATAAACATATCTTAATATTCCTAGTAGAATACTTTTTTGCTTCTTTAAAATTGTTTCAGAAAAATTTCACAAATTTGAACGAATTTCAAAATTTCAAAAACGAGCTCACCCAGTCGTACTTTCTCATGCATGATTATTGCAACATTCGTCTAGTCCTGACAAATTCAAAATGTGGTCTACCAAAATTTTCGAAATCTGAACTAAATTCTTCTTATCTCCGGTAATATTGAAGGCAAAAAAAAGGCAGACCACATTTTGGAAATGCCAAGACTAGTGGTATTTTTTGAATACTAGCCTTCAAAAATTTAATGAAGATCGAATTTTGATGGAGACAAATATTTGAAATTTTGATCATTCATGAACCTTCCCTGGGGTCCCTAGATGTCCCACAAAAAATTTGGGCCCGATCGGTTCAGCCGTTTTGACGTTTATTGGATACAAACAAACAAACAAACAAAAACAGACAAGCCAAATTTATATATAGATTAACTATAGAATTTTACTTCTAAGATTAGATTTACTCATAAATGCCACACATTTTTTCAAGGATTAAAGACAACCTTCAATTCATCTTGCTGCTGTCGTGTTTTGTGGGACACCCTGCACTGTGTACTGCATTCATGTACAGTACACTGACCGAAGATATAGTGGGCTTAGTGGAGTGTAATCTGTTTGTTTGCAACCAATAAACATCAAAACAGGTGAACCAATCCAGCCCGAATTTGTTTGTGGGTCCTCACATGACCCCAGGGAAGGTATATGAATAATTCTCTTTTTTTCACAAAAAAATATTGAACAATTTTGTTAATTATTTATTTGATTAAAACATTTTGAAATATATAAAATACAACATTATGACAGATTATTTTGATTTGCTTTAAGTTCTATTTCAGAATTATATTTATGACTGCTGGTTTAAAACAATTTTAAGCAATGCATTTTAAAATCCATTTTTGTTATAAACTCTGGGGGGAAATTTTATTTAATGTGCTGGTCGTGCTTGTTTCATTTTTGTTTCAAATTCTGGAGGAAAATTTTATTTAATGTGTTTGTCGTGCTTATTAAACAAATTTTAAACTTAATTTCAAAACAGTGCAGTTTGCAAATATTTCTAATATATTCAGCATAAAAGTGAAATCATTTTAGCATTTGACAAGGCCTGATGAAAAGACCAACTGATGAAATGTTTAGAAACTTTAGCACCAGTATATTCCCATTTCGTCTCTTCTGCATCAAGGGTGGCAATTTCAATATCGCTACCTCCAAAGAGTGTCATTAGACCTTTGTATAAAAAGATACCAGGGTTTATCCTGGGTTTCAGTAATTTCGTAGGCAGCTCACGCCACTCCTGAGCACCAAATTCGTAGATTTCTGAGGAAAATCCAGTATCCCCTGGCATTGGATATCCTCCGACTACATACAGACGATTGTTGGCAAAACCACATCCGAGGGCAATTCTAAACAATATCATGTTTTTATCCTAAAAATACATTTCATCAGTCTTTTGATCAGTCTTTTTGTCGATTAAAAATAGAGTGGCATGTCAGATTCATCGTAGTACCCTTGAAAGCTATGTTTGAATAATTTTTTATTAGAAATTCATGTTTTTTTGTTTTTTAAAAGCTGATTATTTTTATTCTTGGTTTTTGTACAAGCATGACATTAGAAATAAGGGATAATTGACAGGATTAAAGACTTTTCAAGCTAAAAAAAAACGACGTCATCTTCCACACTGAAAATTCTCGGACCAAAAATGTAATTTCCGAATTCTATTAAAAAGAAAATTTTATTACATTATTTTGTTTTTGTTTAATGATGTGTAAGGGGTGAAAGTTATAAAGATATTCTACCTGGCTTGTTTCATGCTTGGTAAAATCTCACTTCGTGCCGCACCTTCTCCAACAGGTCCCCACAATACTACAATTTCTGTATCACTGTATCAAAATAAATTAGTTATATGAATAACAAAATTATGCAGTACAGGGTGTTCCAATTAACAAGAGAATTAAGTAATGAATAAGAAATTGTCTTTGTCAAGAATGACCGTTGTATAACCTTCATTCAATGGTCATAATAAAATTACTTCTAATATTTTATCTCATCGGTATTCTGAAAAATGTTTTTAAGTAAAGCTGTGACTACAGATGATTATAATACAGGATAAATGCTAGACTCAAAAACCAAAATTGAAATAGAAAAGAAGGTATTTAAAACGTTCTTATAACGAAACCCTAGTTACGTGCTTTTACATTGTTATCTTAAACGCAGACAGAGCCGTTGTATTATCCTAACCCCGTACACAAATTTACCGACCAGTCTAGTTTAGTTGTGGCTGTACATGCATTCACTCGTACTACCCAGTCTAGACTACCCAGTGTAAATTGGACTCATCGCTTTTAGTGCAACAAATGTAGGTTGGCAAGATGTATGTGGTACCGGTAGAGATCTGTTAAACCATAAAATTGTTTAAACTTTCCAAGACCACATTTAATTGGTAATTCAATATCACAAGGATATCCTTGGACCACGTTGTCTCCTAAATCATGTCTATAAATATAGAGGATATCCTTGGACCACGTTGTCTCCTAAATCATGTTTATAAATGGAGGTTCACTAAAATGATGTATGACAGTCTCTCTGGGGAATGACACAGATTTAAATGATATACACTGCAATAGAGTTTCAGTAGAAGTAAATTTTTCCATTTGCTGTCAGCGCCGATTTAAGGATTCATAACTCTAATTGGATAATGAGATAGATAGAAAAATAGATTTTACCGCCATACTATTTCTATTGGTTCAGAATACACAACAAACGCATGACTGCGAACTGCATAATTTTTAATTCAAGGGCTTTTCAATTAAGTTTTAGATCTGTAGCTCAAATAATATAAAGTAATGGACTTATTTTTCAGAAGGCCCTAAGTTTTAGATCTGTAGCTCAAATAATATAAAGTAATGGACTTATTTTTCAGAAGGCCATTTTTGTTAGAACAAGGAACGATCAAACTCGTTATTGTTCTTTATTGTTAACGATTTTTCACCATTAAAGGGAGTGACTGTCAATGTATGGTGGTTGAACTAAAAATGTAATATTGTGGATCATGAGCAGGGAATGAACGATTTAAAAAATAGGGAAACGCTTAGCCATAGGTATCACCATGCTATCTATGCAGTTTTGAAACCTAGCGATATGAAGGCCCTTTTGCGTCCTCTTGGGTTGCCTTTTTGACCTAGACTTCTATAGCTATTCTTTAAATGGAATAATCCAAAAAACTCACAAATATCATGAACTTAAGCTAATGCCTTGCATAAAGCGTTTTAAAGAAATATTAAACGATTTTCCAAAGAAAGAAACAAGTTTACAGATGTAGTGAACCACGTTTTTGAAGACTTTGAAAAATCATTCTTTGTAGATACGCCTCTTAATCTTTTTTTGTGAATTTGATGAAAAAGACACACCTACATATAGGAACTAGAAAATAGTAGAATTTGTAATTTTCAAGAAAGTGTCCGTAATATTTGTTAAAGACAGATAAGTTGAAAGAATTGCAAATTACAAAATTTCTTAAGTTAAAGAAAGTAGCAAAGCGACATTTATTTCACAGTTTCTTGGATCTTACAGAAAAAATGTCGTATTTTTCATTTCACCTCCATCAACAAAATCTGGTGAAACAAAGAGAAATCCATCCTGAAGACCATCCTAAATTTTCACACAAGTCAAACAGCTGATGGCTTGCCCCATTTTAATTTAAGCTGCGGCTCAAATTTCCACTTAAAGGGGAATGTCCACATTTCCAACAAAGGTGGGGGGGGGGGCTTTCTGACTTCGTTTTTAGAGACTTCTCTCTGATTTTTTGCATGCAGGCCTGAATTGTCATCTAGAATTTGAATCAAACACCAAAGTAGGGAAAAAATAATTTTCCTCCTCATTTTCCCCGCATTTTTCGGGCATTCTTTCATAAACTTTTTGATATAGGTGTCTAAAGTCTTTAATATTAGGTCGGGAAACTCAATTCTGGATTTTATAATGCATTTCCCGCTCTCCTTATACCATTTCCCCCCCCCCTTTTCCGCATTTTCCCCCTCCTAAAGGCCAAAGAAGCCTTCTGACTTTATAACTGGAGATTTCTCTCTGATTTTTGCATGCAGACCTGAATTGTGATCTAGTTTTTTAATCAAAAACCAAAGTGGGAAAAAAATAATTTTTCCTATGATTTTTTCCGCATTTTCCGGTAATTTTTTTTTCAAAAACTGTACATTAGAACCATGTAGGGTGTCCAAAGTCATAAACATTGAGTCGGGAAACTCAATTCTGGACTCTATAATGCATTTCCCCGTCTCCTTATACCATTTCCCCCCCCCATTCCCGCATTTTCTCCCTCCTAAAGACCAAAAAAGCTAGGGTTTCCATTCGCAAAACTTTTGCGCAATTTTTGCGGAACGACCCGCAATATTTTTCTTTCTTTGCGCATCAATTTTGCGCGAAAAAACAACAATTTGCGCAATCATTCGCAAAAGTCATTTCGCGCAAAATTGCCCTATTCCGCTTT